TTTAGTGCTTGTGGATAAAGGGAATAAACTTAGAATATGTCTTGATCCCAAGGATCTTAACAAAGCCATACAACGGAGTCATTATCCAATGCCGACTATTGATGATATTTTACCAGACATGCACAAAGTACAAATTTTCAGTGTGTTGGATGCGAAAAATGGATTTTGGCACGTACGTCTAGATGATGAAAGCTCTTTCTTAACGACATTTAATACGCCATTCGGTCGATACCGGTGGGAACGGATGCCGTTTAGAATTAGTAGCGCACCGGAAGAGTACCAACGTCGACAAAACCAACTTCTAGAAGAGTTACCAGGTGTCAGATCAGTAGCCGATGGTATATTGGTTTTTGGTAAAGGTGATACCATGCAAGAAGCAATCAGGGATCACAATGATAATTTAAGAAGACTATTGCGAAGATGCAGTGATAAAGGTCTTAAACTTAATGAAAAGAAATTAAAGTTGGGTCTGAAAGAAGTCAAATTCATGGGCCACACCATCTCAGATATGAGACTAAAGCCAGACAGTGACAAAATCAAAGCAGTTATGGACATGGCTGTGCCAGCCAATGTAGCAGAAGTACAGAGGATTTGTCAACTACTTAAGCAAGTTTCTTCCTGGTCTCAGTGACATGTGTTTTCCACTACGTCAATTGACATTGAAAGATACAACTTGGTGTTGGTTAGAGACACATACTGCGGCACTGGAACAGATAAAAAAGGCTGTAACTAAGCACCCAGTGTTGCAGTATTTTGATCCGTCCAAAGAGCTAGTTTTGCAAGCAAATGCTTCGGAATTCGGCTTAGGGGCAGCGATATTGCAGGACGGACACCCACTGGCTTATGCTAGTAGAGCACTGACGGACACTGAAACCCGATATGCTCAGATTGAGAAGGAGCTTTTAGCTGCATTGTTTGGCTTAGAGAAATTTCACACCTACACATATGGTAGACATGTGAACATCCAGAGTGATCACAAGCCTTTAGAAATGATCCAAAAGAAGTATTTACATAAAGCTCCAAAGAGGCTACAACGAATGTTACTGCGCATGGCAATGTATGACTATAGCATATGTTATACTCCTGGGAAGAGTATGTATTTTGCAGACACGCTGAGCAGAGCTTATTTAACAGAAACCGATGATACTGTTAATGATCAATCAGACATGGGAGCTGTGGACATGATGGAATCATTAAATTTGGAAAATGGCACACTGAAGGGTATTGCCACACTAATACAAGGTGATCCAGATATGCAAGAGTTGCAGAGAATAATCATGAAGGGATGGCCTCAAGTTAAACAAGAGGTCCCAAAGCAGCTTCACAACTACTTTGACTTGCGGGATGAGTTAGTTACACATGACGGCCTGATCTACAGAGGAGAGCGACTGCTTATTCCACCTGCAGCACGGAAGAATATGATGGAGCAGATCCATGCTGCTCACCAAGGGATACAAGCAAGTATCAGAAGAGCACGAGAGAGTGTCTACTGGCCAGGTATGACAACACAACTCAAAGACTATATAGGGAGATGTGAAATATGTACACAACATTCGGACCAACAGCAAAAGGAGACGCTCTAATCACATGAAGTTCCGAGGAGACCATGGTCTAAGGTTGCAATGGATATATTTTTTCTAGATGACCAAAATTATTTGATAACTGTAGACTATTTTTCAAATTACTGGGAAATTGACTACTTGAAGGATTTGCAGTCAGAGACGGTCATAGCAAAAATGAAGAGTCAGTTTGCAAGACAAGGAATTCCTGAATGTGTTATATCAGACAATGGAACACAATTCACCAGTGAGCTTTTCAGCCAATTCTCAAAGAAATGGAATTTTCAACATAAAACCTCATCGCCAGGATATGCCCAGAGCAATGGCAAGGCTGAAAATGCAGTTAGAACAGCTAAAAGGCTACTAAAAAAGGCAAAAGCGGATCGAAAGGATCCTTATTTGGCGATATTGGATCTCCGCAACACACCGGATCAAGATGGCAGTAGCCCTGTACAGAAGTTGATGAGCAGACGTACAAGGAACCGGTTACCAACCACTTCAAAGCTCCTGAAACCAAAGGTAGAAAAAGGAGTGTTTGAAAACATAAAGATAAAGAAAGAAAGACAAGAGTTACAGTATAACAAATCAGCTAGAGACTTGAAGCCACTTCAAGTTGGAGATAAAGTCAGGATATTCCGATTTCACGACAAACAATGGAACTTGGAAGGCAAAGAAACAGCTGAGGAGAAATAGGAAACATCTAAAGAAAGTATCTCATGACAACAGCAACTTCAGTGATGACGACATTGCTGACTTGGATGACCCAGTAATCCATCCATGGCCAAAAGCACAAACACCAAACCAACAAGTGCATGAACCACAACATCAGCAACAAGTGGACCACCCTACTACGGAAACCTCGCCCATGAAAACCAGAACGGGAAGAACAGTGAAACCTCCAAAATATCTGAAAGACTATATGCCATAATATAACACTATAAATCAATGGACAATATGACTAAATATCTTTATAACAACAGTAGACCATGCTGAACTCTTGCAGGAAAATGTTTATGAAAGTGTTAAAGTTTCATATGGAATATAATTACTAATAATTATAGAGAAGAATGACATGTCATGTGATTTAATACTTAATTATCTATAATTCATACAAGTTTAAAATTATATATGTTGAGTTAGTTAAAGTTCAAAGTTAATGAAGGTACACCATACAGCTGAATAATATAACAAGACTCATAATAACGTTAGTATAGATTTAATATACTCGCATAGAATACAATACATCTGAAAACATAACTAATGATATAATCTTTTAAGTGAAAGCAAAAAAGCTTAAAAAAGAGGAAAGATGTAGTGAAATATATGTAATGTCCTGGCAACGCTTGTCCGGGGTTCTTGATCATGGCGTGTGATCCAATAAACACGAGTACCGATAGTCTGTGTCCCGTGTGCTATTTATGAGTCCAATATTAACATTTAGAAAACCCACAAGTGGCAACAAACTTCAAAAGATTGACCTATGCAATATATTTTATTGCTAGTTTTTCTGCATCAAACATTTTCATAGGTGTTACTGCTCTCACGCAATCCTATAAATGAAGTGAGCAACTGAGATGGTGATGGCTTCTCCTAGGTCTGCAATAAATTCCTTTTTCAATAGGTTTAGAGTGAGCCAATCACAGAAGAGTATAGCTTGAGTCTAAATTGGAGCCTTTATTTGCATACACTTGAAAATGATTATAGCCTAGCTGGTCTAGCCTACCTGGCTAGCATACTCTCATCCTAGCACCTACTTTGCGATTTAGCTTTCCACTATCCAAGTGTATGTAAATTAGGGGCTCCAGTCTAGGCTCGAGTTATTATAATCTGCTGTGATTGGCTCACTCTATTGGATAAACCTATTGGATAAAAGTTTATTGCTGACCTAAGAGGAGCCACCACTATTGTATGATTGGATAAAACATGATCATGATGAAACTAGAAATTCAACAACAAAATTAACACAAATTAACTGTATGCTTAAACATAAAACAGCAAGATATAAATTTCCATACATATAGAGGTTATCATAGCACATTCTAAGAAACGCAAAATCAGTAATTCTGATAGATCAGATAATATGTTGGAGCATACTCCAGTAGATTGTATATTACATGTGAGAGGCATTCAACATATGTGTTTCACACGGCTCTGTGATGTCAAGGGTTCTGCAACTGAAAAGCTTGCTCAAGTAGTCAGCATTCGTGACAGCCGTATGACTCACCATACCGCATGGAGGATGTTTGTTTTCGTATACCAGAGAGTCTTGATGGAGTAGATTTAGAGAGAACTGGCTATCATCGAAGCTGCTACCAAACCTTTATGAGAAATCAGGATCGGTTAAGGTTTTGTGAAACATCAACTGATTCTTCAACATCACGCTCTCCTCGCAAAACGAAAGCATCCTCTGCTGTGCTGTTTCCCCCGGAATGCATTTTCTGTGAAAAGCTCGAAATAAAGGTATCTGGGAAAAGTAAACGATGTATTAAGTTCTCAGTATTCAAAGACCAGTCCGGAGCATTCAAAGAGCCTACATGGAAGGAGATTGCACACAAGGCCCTAGAACTTGGGCAATGTCGTCTACATCGAATGATGCAAGATCAAGACCTGTTTGCAAGAGAGGCCAATTTCCATCAGTTTTATCGGAAATCATTTAGCCTGAAGTATGCAAACTATGTACGTGACACTACCAAGGCATCTTACGGAGCCATCGTGACAGAGTAGGATTGTAAGGTATCTGCGAGTATGAAACATTTTACTGTTGTTCTTGAGTTTATTGAAAATTCAGTGATTAGGCTGAATGAAGTTGTAAAACTGGCATCACTGCGACTTCTTTATATTGAAGAGTTGGAGAAAAATGGTTTCCCAAATCCTCAATACAGAAGTGAGAAGCTGAAGGTGAGACCTGAGAACCACGAGATACGTGAACAGATCGCCTTTACTAATGTCTACCCAAGTGGAAAGGGCTGTATCACCTACAACCTGATCTAATGCTAGTACCTCTGTAGCAGACGCAGTGGTCTGTGCATATAAGCTGGGTACCATTGGCAAGTTGAAGGAAGTTGCCCTTCTTCGCAATAAAATCCAGTGAGTATTTAAGGAGTGTGAGCCACTCTCTTGGCCTTCTACAGCTGACGATCTTGAAGTTGAGGCACCAGATGAACTTCTCTCATCTGATGTCATCAAATTCCTGTCCTTAGTCATTTCTGGAAATGCAGACATAGAAAAATATGAGAAGTCTAAGACGCATTTTGCTTTCTATTGGCCAGGTATGTCAAACCTCTCATTATTGTCTATGTTACGCTTTTTATACTATTATTTTGTATATTTTTTAGACCCACTAAAATGCAAATTATCTTCTTTTACTGCTATAGGATATATGCCGAGCTGTGACAAATGGTGAATGGAAATTTCCAAAACACATTCTCCTCTGCACTACAATACGTCATCTTTACCGGAATAAACAGCTTACCACTATCCTCAGCAGACTTGGTCACTGTGAGACTTCGGCTTGGATCTTGAGACAGCACTGGCTATGTTTCCACTTCCCTAACTCCCCACATCATTACCGGCGAGAACAACAGCGTTTTTCATCTTGAGTAGGACAATCTAAATAGGATTATGACAAACATTCATGGTTCAATTGTGGTGGACAGTACCAGCGGCATTATGATTCTGGTGAATCCAGGGTTTTGAAGCCAGCAAACAAGATCCCATGGTACGGACGCTTCCTCTCTACATACGAAGCAAGGAACGCTCCTTAAATGTAGATATGCACGAAACCCTGGCACCATTCCATATATATAGTCGTGTTGGGCCCAAGTTTCCCAATGGAGCTGTATTCACTCCGTCTACATGAAACAGTAAGGTATACTCAAAGTGTCAAAATATCATGTCTGGCCGGCTACTTGCACGTGTCGTGGGGAGTAGCGGAGAAAAACAGCTTGTTCCGGGATTTGCTGGCTTCGTTTCAGGTACTGGTGAAAAACCCTTCCGAAAGTCAACCATCGACTATTTTACCCCCATCAACCAGCCATTCACAGAAACATTGAGGCTGAACTCACAACCAGTGGATGTCTAAATAGTGTGCTAAAAGGTAAAGCATAAAATAAACCTCTGTTCTGCCTCAAAACAGTAACCGAAGCTATGGAGCGGTTGCTATTAGAGAAATTTGATGAGGAGAAAAATGTTGAAGTTACCAATCCAGTGGCACTTTTCTATCTTGTCCAGCTATGTGACTGTGAGACACTAAACCTTGCGTTACAAGACCGTTGCACACTTAGTATTCTTGAGAGGTATATTGCATATGAAGACAAGGTGCGTAATGGCCATCTCGGCAAGACTGCCACATTCTGGCTTAGTGTGATAGACCATCCCGTCTCCTTTTAATGATGCAGTATTCTGTGAAGACAAACAATCAGGCCCTTTTTCACAAGTGCAAAGGGAATATGGCAGACCTATGTTTTGCATACGATAGGCCAAATTACTCAAGGTAAAGGACATTATTTTAATAAAACTTACTAAAGCATTTGATTATTTTATTTAAAAATTGTATAGCTCTAATAATGTATCACATTTTATCCAGGTACTTGGTGTGGTTAGAGGTATTCCTGACGAATATCGATCGTTCTCATCCAGAAGCCAAGGAGCTATTGACGAAAGGTGGCATTGCAGTTGCGCGGTCATTCATTCCTGGTGCCCTTAGTGCTGTGAACAAGACAATGGAGGAAAGATTCCTGAAGTTTGCCAAATCTGCAAGTATTGCATTAATAGTAGCATACAACCTTTTAAGTAGAATGTAGCTGAACTATACAAATTTATAATCCTCTCAATTGATTACCTTTTCAGGTGGATTTGTAGGAATCTTTTCTATGTTTGCTGCGTATCAACGATGGTGCCGTACAGCGTCAACCCGGGCTCAATACTTTGAGAAAATTCTTGAAATGTGTGGAGTGATTGATGATGATCCGGAGTCGACCAAAGGCTGGTAAACATCGTGAGTTGGAAAAAGCAGAGATAAAAAGTCTGAGGAGGCAGTTAAGCGCAAAATCGCTGCTATTCGTAGTTTCTCGAACCCTTTCTGCATAGTTGACAATGACCACCTCTACAATGTGTCCTCGGGAGCTCCAGTTTCCTCCGAGGTAGAACTTGATGTGCTCCGTGCTGAAGCAGTTGGAAAGGATGCTAAGGAAGCGTTAATCCAAGATCGCTTTGTGAATGGTTCCGAGGCACTTTTAAAAAAGATGGATGCTTCTAACAAGACAGTCAAGCTCACTGTGCACCTACTGCAACAATACATATTAGTGTATGATAGCAGAGTGATAGGTCTAATAAATTGTTCCTATTTTCTTTTCTTTTTTGTTTTTGCAGGTTATCAAGTACCGTCAGCAAAGTGACCTCACATTTATGCTGCTAATTAAGTCTCAGAGCCTAGATGATCCACTTAGTCTTGATCAGCTAATGCAATACCCGCTGACCCCTGTTCCTTATAGCCTGGGCACAGCTGATGGGTTTCTCATTAAGACCAACAAAGCCAAAATACTTCATTTCTTGACAGAGGATGCTCCTGAGAACGTACCTTACCCAAAAGATGCCATTTACATCCAGGATGGAAATTCACTTTTGCACGCACTCACAAACCTCCCCCCCCCCACATTTGGTGCAATATGCCTACAGATATTAGATGAGATGGT